GACTTCTGATAACGACGGATCTCACGCAGAGCCACGGTGCCGGGCCTGGATAAGGGAAGCAATGAGCATCAGCATCTTTCTTGGACTGTAACATTTTTAAATCTATGCATTACTAAACTCTAAAAGGACTTGGTTCGCATAAAATGTAAAAAAAAACCCTGATATATATATTTATGATAGCATGAACTGGAGAAAGGTGATCCCACACCTGTAGCGATGGGGCTTCTTGACCCCTCCAGTGGACGGGGCACTTTTACGAGCGGCCTTGGTAGCCAGCTGCTTACGTGGAGCTTTGCCTCCAGTTGACTTACGAGCAGTCTGCTTAGTACGGGCCATGGCTGTTTTAAATCACCTGCAAACAAATAAAGTCTGCCTCAGCGTAACAAGACTTTGAGTTTAAAAGCAAAGCAGTACATTATGTGAAAGATAAAACTTAATGTTCTCTTTTTTAAGTCAGCACAAATCATCCCAATTCAGTTTAATTGATTAAAAAAAATATGTGAAGCCAAAAAATATGTGAAGCCAGATACAGAATACTTAACGTAGCTTATGTAATGGCTGTAAGGAGAATGACAGCAAAACCATCCAATGAGATGAGAGCTTTAATCGCCTTAGCCAATCAAATTGTGTATACAAGGCCGTAAGGCGCCATGCTGTGGACTTCTCGACCAATCACAAAACGATATTTATCCTACAAACCACGCCCTTGCGCACCAAATAGAGGTACGTTCGTTTCTTCACACCAGGCTCTCCGGTTGTGCATAGGGCTTTTGTAACTTGAATCGAATTAGCTATTTTAACATAAAACTATGTGACCCCGCCCGCACCGGCTGCCCGCTGTAGGCAAACCAACGCACCCAACGGTAATGGCTGGCCGTTGGCTGGAAGAATGTAAACGGGGAAGAAAAAAAATTGTCGCAAACGAAGAGCTTGACGATAAAAACGACGAAAGATTATAAAAACTACGATCTATAACCGGAATATTATTTTTGAATATGACACTACACATGTCAGGGAATCAGTTGGCGAACAATATTTCGTCAGACGAGTCCTAACTTTTGGCGCATTTTCGAATCGAATTGAACGGAGATCACAAGTGCTTCTCTCTTCAGGTCCCCGACTCCCAGAGCAGGCAGATAATAGCCCGACAGCTCTGCGCTTCATTTTTCGTCGACGATTAACGAAAAATAGCGAAAAAAATAAATACTAACATGACATTAAATGGAAGAGTGGACATTTATTTAAATATTGATACGTACCTTGGGAAACTTAGTAAAAGATATCGGCTGTAAAATGCGAATCTAGTCTTCAGTCTTTAAAGCGTTGTTCTCAATAAAACGAAGGGAGGAAGAAAAAAAAAGAAAATCATCAAAGGAAGGCAAGAAGGGACTCGTTACCCATGATGCATCTGGCACTCAGAGAAACAACATAAACAACATCAGTTCGTGATAAAACATACAGAATTGAATGTTTAACTGGTTTTTACTAATAAATGTTTATTTTTCGCATTATTTTAACTTTGTTTTTTTTTTTTTTAGAAATTGCACTTTTTTAATAGCTGTAATCGAATAACTGATTAACCACACCAAATCAAGAGTCATAAGAAAAAAGTATTTTAAGTTTTTTTTTTAAAGCGAACTTTTTAAAGTTTTAAATATAATAAATTTAACATTAATATAATTTCAAAACATCAATAACTATTTTTCACAGTTTTTGGTCACTAATTTATAAGAAGATGACTGTTATAAAGAAATTTTTGTAAATTATATAATTTTGCTGTAAAATAAGTAAAAAAATATTTATTTTGGCATTTAATCAACGTTTACAGCTTCCGGCCAGCAGGTGGCGCCACCCGCGCCGACGTTAGAAAAATACGTTTTTTTTTTTTTTCATTTCTTCAAAATGGCGGCTGCCAGGAGGGCGAAGCGCGTGGCGGCTTCTCAGCCTGGTTTTTTACCTTTAAAAGCCTCCGTAGACCCCGCAGACCTGGCCAGCAGTCGGAGGAAACGTGGGAATAAGAACAAGAAGAAGAACTGGAACAAATTCTGCGACATTACAGATGTTGAGGGTTTTTTAGAGGACGTCCGGCATCAAGAGCGGACGACAGGGTGAGCTTACGTAAAGTTATGCTCCTCAGACTTTCCAACAACGACTTTATTGTTATGTACTATTCATATTTAACGCGTTATTTACATGATTTTAAAACAGTCATAGCAGTGGGTTGTACTAAGTGTCAGCCTGCCGTTGGGAGAAACTGGTTTGGGCTCTTCACATCATTGTGATGTTTTACTCATCATTCTTATAATTCAGTAATCTGTGTACAAATGACCTGTTGGTGTATCTAAAATCAGTGTGACTATTTTAAACGGTGTTGCTATCACTGCAAGGTAAAACAGTAACTTGACCTCTTGTTTGCTGCAGTTATTTTGTGGATGAATTAGTATTTTTCTTGCTACACATTAACAGAATATTAGGTGGAGGAGTAGCTGTTTTCTCGGGTTTAAACATGTGACTTTAATGTGTTTCAGGGGTCTGCTGTCTGAGAAATCAGATGAGCATTTGTTCTTTGTGGATCTTGGACAGCCAGAAAAGCCTCATCAGAAAGGTGGATATTTCTTTGTACTTATAAAAGTGCTGTTTAGTAGCAGTGTGTGAATAACTAGTTTTTTGTCCCATCAGATTTTCTCTTTAAAGCTATTTATGTCTAATCAATCTTTGTGTTTTTCTACATGAAGCAGAAGAACCTGACGAGGGGAAGAAGAGAAAAGGGAAAACATCACGTCCTCTGAGGATTGACCTGATTCTTCAACACGACTCTCGCGTTCCACCTGTTAAAGAGTCAGTATTTAGACTACGTTCACACCTCTGACTTATTTTGGCAACCAAATCACTTGTGGTCAGTTCTTAGATCTGGTTCGTACCTGGTGGGAGGCAGCAATGCACTCGTCAAGAACCACGTTTCTGAATAACTCTGGATCGAATGGAAATGAACGACAAGGCTAGCTGTCATTTTAATCATCAGCAGGACTCAACTACCACTCACCAGATACAGTAGTCTCTCACTTATCGCGGGGGTTACATCACCCCAGTGATAGGTGAAAATCTGCTAGGTAGGGACATTATATTTATTTTAGTATTTAGTGTATATATATTAAGTTGTTACAAGCCCAGATCTCTTCGTTCTAGTGATGAACATAATTATGGGGAGTTCCTGGCGCTGCTTCTTCACAAAAGAGCACAGAGAAAGAGAGACTGATGCTGCAGTTACTGAGCCAATCAGCGCCCGGGATACAGAGCACAACGTTCTGGTTGGTCATGTGTCCTGTACAATCTTATGTTGAAACCCCGTGAAACAGTGAGTCTGCGAAAGTCGAACTGAGTTTAAGCAACAACAAATACTTCTGCACCAGAGCAAACCGTTTAAGGTGTTGTCATCTTAGATTGGTGGCCACCTACAATAATCATTTTTAATATTCTTTGCTTCAAGGCTGAAGACCTAATTGCACTTTAATGTCTTAATTGGTAAGATCCATATGTGTTTAATGAATGTGAAGTCAGGATATTGATTGAAACGTTTGTGGGGAAACGAGAAGGTTAACCTTTTGTTCATGGTTGGGTAGGGGGAAAGTTTACAGTCAGAGTCTCGAGTACAAAACTACAGGTTTAATGAACCAGAGCACTCCTTAATCTGACTAAAAATGGCTTTGGGCCACCTATTGATAACTGTTTAATACTGTAAACAACCCAAATGTCTGGATCTGTTTTCCAGTTCAGCAGACTACTGGCTCTTCACTGTGTTTTCATCCTTTTAATCTAGAAATACTCCAAACTGATTTTATCTCTGGTAAGGCTGGACGACATGGCCAAAACTTTTATCACGATATATTTCTTTATTTCGGTCGATAACGACACAGAAAAACTGTGCAAATAAATTAATGTTCACCTTTTAAATGTTGGGACACGTTGGCTCAAACTTTTATTGTGCTTCATCTTGTGACTCTCAGCATATTCTATGGACTGGAAACTCTTCAGATGGAACAAGTTAGATGTTCCCACCGCTAGTTGGAACGACTCTCCGTCACATTTTGCAGCACTCTGACTGAAACCTGCAGTTTATCAGATCTTAGAAAGTCGAACCACTTCCACACCGGCTAATTAGTCTTTCCTCTCTTATCAGTGATGTCATCTGCTTCTCTTCGCTTGTGAAGCTTGTTCAGTCACATTCTGACGGTCATGGGCGCTCATTTTGAAGCAAAATCTTAATGTGCACTGGAGATTAGCCTAGCTTAGCCTGCTACCGCCTTCTGGACTCGAGCTCTGTGTAATGTCTACGTCACCACGCACTTACTTATTGTGTCACTGCTTTTTATGTTCTGGTTGAAACTGAAGCGGCCGCTTCAACCCGAACAGAAAAAGAAACGCGTCAGTGAAACGCTGTAATTATATCAAAAATGTGCTTGAAACTCATCTCATCGTTATTAAACAAAAAGTATATTGTGACATATATTGATATCGATTTATTGTCCAGCTCTACTCTGGATTCTTTTTTTTTTTTTTTTTTTTAATCTTTCAGTAAACTTTATTTAAAACGTTGCATTCTTGCTTATAAAAGTATTTGAGTGACCCAAATACATTTCAGTCACTTTCCACAAAACACAAAATAATGTCCTTCACACATTCTTCAGTTTTTATTTATTTATTTCTTCATTTGTTCATCCATTTAAAAGAACCAAAATAAAACAAATTCATCAAAAAGAAAAACATTGAATGAAAGGGGTGCAGAAAGATGAAAAAAATTCTTATAATATCGCCCCCTTATTTAAAAAAAATAAATATAAAATAACTTTAAACAAACAAAAAGTTAATCTTGAACATCAGTTTAGGTGAAGTTTGTGATCTTCTCCTGGACTTTGTGCGTGGCTGTGATCTTTTTATCAGGAAAAAATAAAAACAAAAAGTACAACATGCTCCTAACCGTTCTCGTTGTTTTTCAGTCTGAATGAAGGAAGCGACATTTGATTTGAGTAAATGGTTTAAAATAAAGCTGCTTGTATAATGAAGTGTGAGGGCTGTGTGTGAATCCTGTGATGATCTCATCCTTGCGCTCCCAGTATTTCCTCTTGGGGAAATGTGAAGACAACCTACAGGAGCTCAGGTCACTGTTGTGTGAACAGGGTCCTGGGATCTGAGGATTTTAAAACACGCGCCCTAGTGCACACTGTGCGCGCATGCTAAGTAAATCGACTAATCACCCTTCTTGTTTCGTTTCCTCCACCAGTGTGCTGGCTTACCAGCAACCCAATGCCAAGAAACTCCGCCGCATCGCCCAGAAGGCCGAGCAGCTGGCAGCCAGAGGCGTGGTGCCACGGAGGCAGAAGCTGCTGCTGAACAGACGGCCTGTCGTCAGGACGGTCAAAAAGGCCGTGGCAGAGGCCAACAACAACCCAGACAGAGAATATTACAACATATGGAGAGAAGAGCGTGAGTAGAGTTCATGTGTTTCTGCTGATGAGCCAGTGATTTCTTAATGGGATTGTGAAAACCAGCATGGAGCTGTAAGGTCTGAGGAAGTATGATGGACAAGATGAAATGATCAGTTTGTAGAGATTCATCAGAAACTGGCAGGTGGAGAAACAGGTGCTGCTGAGTGTAAATATGTTTGTTTACAACATTTAAAGCAGTTTTTGTCATAAATGTTACATATTTATTTTATCCACATTTTGCTTCTAGACCCTGTTAATAAATCTGTTTGATCAATAAAACCAGGCTGCCTTTTGCACAAAGATGTACTTTTTTGAGGACTGATTAAAAATAGGGAAGCTTTTTTGTATTATAACACCCCCCCCCCCCACACACACACACACTTTAAAGCAGGAATTGCTTTCATGTTATATTTGATAAGTTTGAAGCTTTGTCTTTACTAGTTTGGATACTTTTTATTTCATAGATTTTCTACTGCTCTTGTACCTCCTGTCCACACATAATTTTTGAAACACTTTAAACAGAAAGACTTCTAAAAACCTGGTTTATGGAGGATTTGTGTGGACAGGAGAAATGGCACAGATGATGCAAAATTGTGAGGTAGCAGCTTGTTTTGTGCTCTGAAAACCAAATTAACAACAAAGCTCTTGGCTTTTTTTCTCTGTCTTGATATGTCTTGATCCTGTTGCTGTGAATAATACCAAAGTTAAAATTATGAATGGGGGAAAAAACAAAATAGGGCTTTAACTGCTTTAGAAAGATCTTTTAATGTTGTGTCAGGACTGTTTACATGAGCTGCCATGTTGTTTTTTTGGGACCAGACTACACACTAAAAGCTGTGGGACTTTTAAGTCCTGCTTACTTTTTTGCACACAGTCATGGTGAACTTAAAACTTTCCTTAAGGACTCTGTACCCACTCCAGCCTCCCATAAGGAATCCATTGTTTCCTTACATGTCAATAAGCTCTCAGTCAGTTGGCACACATGGATATTTCATAGAGCACGACCGATGTGGAAGTTTTGGCTATTGCCAATACTGATATTGGGAGGGGAAGGCGACCACTGATTATCTATAATGGCTGATATCCTGATGCATGCTCAATAATATATAATGGCTGATAATATCTGAGCTTTATCCACCCCTAAGAATCTAAAATAAAAAAAACAGTGAGTGGAGCCGAGCTTTTTTATTTAGCACAGCTTTTGACAATCATACCATACCACTTTATTTATAAAGCACTTAAAACAGCAACAAGGCCAACCAAAGTGCTGTACAGACAGAACAACAGGTAACACACAAAGCAAAATACAAAATGAGGTAAATCAGAATATAGACAAAAAAGGATGCAGATAATGACGACAAACCAGTGTAGAGCATACAGGATCAAGACACAGATCATCTTGTGTTGAAATCATGAAGCTAAGCAAATCCACGCTATACCTAGTCCCACACTAGGTTCACAAATGGTGCACTGGTCATAAAGTCTTCATAAAGTGCGTTCACATTTTCTATCCTCCACTATTCACCATAAAGTTATCAAGTGTGTTAGAAAAATATAAATCACACGAACACCTTCCCTGTTCATTATTCAGTCATGTATGGTGAAGGTCTAATTAATTTCGACCGTGTTTCTTTTCTTTGCAGAGAAGTAAAGATTTCAGACAAACAGTACATTTCATTGAGGACGACAAAGTTAATGTAACTGACACTGATATATTTTACAGCTACGTCAGATTAATCGTCCTGGATAAAGTTTTACGAGGCAATAACCTATGCTAGGTTATCTAAATGTTAGCTTGCTAACTTGAGAGGCACGGGGCTAATGACAAGCAGGTTGGAGGATTGAAGAGAATTTATTATTGTTGATTTGTTTAACAAATTAGTTCAAATAAATTTGCCAGGCTCTGTTCAGCTAAATATGCTACACAGTATTGCTCCCTGCTTCAGCTGTGCTGAAAGTGAAACTTGAGTGAAAGATCATGACTTGCAAGAAGTCTTCATGCACCTTCTGCTGGATACGTTGCGCAATTACAGCTGGTTCCAGCATTTTAGAGGTGAAAATTAGAAGTGCTTTTATCGACGCATAATGGGACCATTATCACTGATAGGTCCCCCAACGTCTATCAGCCTAAATTACTGGCCCTATCTGCCCTACGATACATCAATCGGGCTGTAGTTTTTCACCATTTTTTTGTTAAAACATGTGGACAGAAGAAAAACTACTCCAGTCCAGTTTCTGGATAGATTGAATAAACATGTTGCTACAGGATGTTGAGGTTTTTTTTTAAAAATTTTTATTGTAGCCAAAGAGTCGGCTGATCCCTGGTATCTTCAACAGACGGGCAAGAAGCGTGTTAAGGTGAGCCCAAGCACTGATCAGTTTTATTTCTCTGACATTAGGTGCCTGTTTGTAAACATTATTGTGCGTTTAATTTTGGGCCAGCGTCCAGAGAAGCTGAACGAGAAGCCATCCGTGCTCCCTGCTGTTGAGGTGATTGCCCCCGGTGGATCCTACAACCCCGACTTCTTCTCCCACCAGGTAAGCATTCGGATTAAACATTTTTAAAACCTCTTCATGCACTGATAAAACAATACTTTACTCACAAATCTGTGTGTAAACCAGGCGCTGCTTCAGGAAGCTCACATGGTGGAGGTCAAGAATAAGAAAGAAGAAGACAGAATAGAGAAACAGCTGGCTGTCAACAACGAGGACAAAGCTACACAGGTGATGACGAGGACCATCTCGTGCAGATGCTTAATTTTGAAGCAGACTTTTAAAATTTATTTGAATTATCCTTCTGTTTATTTTTAGGAAACGGCTCTGCATGAAGAGGTGGAAGGTCTGATCGAGGAGGAGGGTGACGAAGAAGCAGAAACTCCTATCAACAAGGAGGGCGACGAGGGGGCCGTGTCTGCCATCACAGTGGCTGCGAAGAAGACCGAACGACAAAGAAAGAAAGAAAAAGTCGAAAAAATTAAGGTACGTGTGTAATTACTGAAAGCTACAAGGTATAAAAGATCTAAAGATATATTGTTATATTACAATCAGATGGACCCTCACTGTCCTTGATGACAGTGGTCACGATGAACACAGACTGGTTTGATCAACTCATATTGATCATCACTCATTTCACAACTTCTAATGTTTGACATTTGACTAATAACTCAATGATTCACTTGCTGCTGAAGTTCAATCATGTTCAAGTTTGCATTGTTTGTCAGAACGGTCTGGTATGACGAGCTGTTGAGCTGTGTGGTGCACTTGTAATTTCCCCACACCGATTTTACATTTCGTCTTTAAATAATTACACAATGTGAAGTTTCAACTGCTGTTTATCATCTGAGGGTGCATTGTGCTAATTTTAGTTTTTTTTATTTTTTTTTTTATGGGTCCCGAATCATGATTGTTTTTATTTTTATTTTTTAACATGACTGAATTAAACTCTTAAACATTTATCTTAGAGAAGATAAATTAAATTCCGGTTTCCTCCCACAGTCCAAAAACATGCATGTTAGGCTGATTGGTAACTCTAAATTGTCCCTAGGTGTGAGTGAGAAAGTGAATGGTTGTTTGTCTCGTTTGTCTCTATGTGTCCCTGTGATGGACTTGCGACCCATCCAGGGTGTACCCCGCCCCTCGCACAGTGATTGCTGGACATGGGCACCAGCGACCCCCGTGACCCAAAATGGAATAAACGGGTAAAGATAATGGATGGATGGATGGAAGATAAATTTAATGCAAAGTTGTTTAAAAAATTTCCAATTAGGCGACGCCCTTTTCCAGCAGAAATGAGTTTTGCTCCAGGTCTTTACATCTTGTTCATACAGGGAGGCTTGACTCTTTATGCAGTAATTATTAATCAGGTGAAGGAAGCCTGTTAAATGGAAGATGCTAAATGCAAGTCTCAGCTGTTCACGTCATGACTCGTACACACACACATGACTTGTCTGCAGAAAGCAGAGATCTCCCAGACTCCTGGTTCATAAGACGTCTCAGTCCGGGTCTGTGAAGTGTTCCGACTGCCTCGGTCCATTCAGAAGGCACACGGAGGTGGCGAGGGGGGTCAGAGACAGACTGATGCTCCTGACTGCGGCAGTAACAGGACCGACACGAAGGGGAAACTTGAATATTGATGCTGACACACAGTGAATTTGTATTTAATTTAAAAATAGTTAACCACTAACAGGAGTTAGTTCATCAGGTTTAGTAAACGACTCGAGCCCTTCAGTCAGCAGAGTTCTGCTGCGTTGATGTTGGAAATGACTCCTGCCTGCTACTCTGAGCTGTTGGCCTCCTACTCAAGAAGTTATTGAGAAGGCTGTACAATGTATTTGCCTGTCTGGGCCACTGCCGTAGATTGCTGTATAAAAGTTTGTCAACAGGTGTGTAACGTGCCGTATGGAGCACTCTTGTGATGCATTTGCTTTCAGAGCCTTTGTTTTCGTGCGTAAAATCAGAAAGTCTTGCTGTTCGATGTGAAGTCTTGCAGAAAGTCACTCTGCTTCTCTTCTCGTTGACCCGACTCCAGGAGCAGCAGCGGCTGTCCAGCAGGCATCAGATTACCCAGCAGCAGCAGCTCTTCCAGCTTCGCTCCATCAAGGCCTCCATCAAACAGCAGGAACAGAAGACCAAGAAGAAACAGATACAGCGCAAGGCCAAGCAGGAGGCGCAGAAAGCTCAGCCCAGGCGCCTCGGGAAGCTCAAGTATGTACCTTAATTTATTCATCAAGAGCTTCACCTGACGAGCGTCATCTCAACACACACAACTACTACAGGACCTAAACACAACGCTGTGTCTCAGGCTTAGTCTGCACTGCTCTGTTTTATAGGAACATTTTTATTACTTTATATGAAAACCTTTTAAGATGCTAACAAAAACTTTTAAATGTCCGTACGACACCATTAGCTGCTGAGAGAATCTATTTTTAACATCATGAAGATTTCAGATCCTAATCTGAGTTCGATGGCTACAGGATTAGGATCAAATGAGACGGATGTAGAAAAAAGGTGAAAGCAGTCGTTGAGGTTTTGGTTTCTGGGCTCAAAGTGCGAACATTTACAAAACAAGTCGTGATGTCGTTTCTGAAATGCTCCCTGATTCACGTCCACACGGATGCAGATGTACAGAGATTAAAAGTGCTCAGTATTTTATCAATTTTTTAATTTAAAAATATTTGAATTCACTTTATTAGCTCAAACCATAAAACACAAAGTTGTATCTGTTGTAAATGTCTGCATCTTGTGGTTTTAGGTTCCAGGCTCCAGACCTGGAGGTTCAGCTGAGCGACGAGCTGGCCGGCTCTCTGCGACAGCTCAAGGTACGTCGCTAACAATCACTAACTTTATTTTATTTAATGTTACCCTTATAGCGCTTGGCTTCACACCACATGCTTTTCTGCAGTCTTAGACTGAACCTATCGTGTAGGAAGAAGACAATTGTAAGAAATTTTTTCTTTATGAGCTCCACCTGTTGGTCTGTGACAAGTATCGAGCAGTGATGAACGTTCTCTAGGAAAGTCGAGCAGCGTGACCTCTGCTGCAGCCAACGCCTTCTTCCCAGTACTAGGAGTGTCCACCAGCATTTCCAGATTAGTTTTTAAAAAGCTTAAATGTTAGATGATTCTGGCAACTCTGTGCACTAATCACACCACGTCATCTTAATCCCACCCCCACCGCAAAACTACTCCCTCAAGCACATATAGGGTCAAAATATAAAAGTTTCAAAGCAGCAATACAATATTTAGTCATTTCCTCTCAACAGCTGTCTCTCTCCCTCGTCCTCCTCTTTATTTCATTTCACTTTTATTTAACCAGACACAAACACTACAAACAAATTCTTATTTACAGAGCTGGCCTGGCAGCACCAACAGGGACTTGTAGGGTCATGGGAAGGGAAGTAAGGCAAAACCATGAGATACTGTAGTCAATAACAAACGAGGAAACACAAATTATGTCAACAGTTCATTGTCAGAGTTAAACGACAACATTACTAAACATGAAAACATTTGCAAATACAGTAGTCCCTCATTTATCATGGGGGAGCCGAATCCTGAAGCCCCGTGATAAGTGAAAAACCGCCAATTCGGAATAGTAGTACAAGTTGTAGTTTATTTTAATGCTGCGCTCTCGGCCACGCCCACCTCACCGCTGCAGATCGTAGATATGACATGTTGTAGGAGGAAGCTTCTCCCTGCACGCGTGGGCTGAACGCAGGTGCTAAATAATTTAAAATAATTAATTTTAAATAAAAAATCCATGCCCATCGTGCAGCTCATCCATCAATCATCCAAGTGTGTCATGTCCAAACTTACTTTGAAAAGCTGAGATAGAGCTAGTCTGCAAAATGCAAAGTAGCGAGGGACTGCTGGATCTTTAAAAACAACTTTTAAATGATTTTTAAAACTAGAAACTGAGATGAGTGAGGTCAGACTCAAAGTTTTTTGAAGCAGATTCCAGTCAGATGGAGCAGCAGAGACAAAGCCAGACTTGATCTTTAGTTGTTGAACCACAAATACTGAGGATCGAGTGTTATACTTCAAAACTGGTGCTAGTTGCAGAAGAGGAGTTACATATGGAGGTGAATAATCCAGCACCGTCTTATAAATGAGGGTAAACCAATGAATTCCACAACAAATATGTAGAGAAGATCATTTAACAGGGTAGAGGTGGCAATGACATGTTCTTAGAGGAACATTTGTAACGGAGCCAATAACTGATCAATTGTGTCCAGCTTACGAAGCACACCCTTAAAATCGTCTGTAAAAATTTTTTTCCAACAATGGTGTTTCGCAACCAACAAAGATCGATTTCTATACAGACAACCAAGTTTTGCTTTAATCTTAGATTGCAAAACATTAACAAGAAGTGAAAAGGACAGAACACCATCAATCCAAATTCACAAATATTTATCAAATGTTCTATAATATCACTGTTTACAGTTGTGAAGTCCATCGAGGTGCGTATTTCTCTCTTTAGTGTCGGATATTTATATTTGAAGTGTTGTCACCAGCTCTTATTGTTTTATTTTTGGATTTATATCTGTAGTAGACCTGCAGGTTACTGTACAGTGAGCTAAACTCAGTGCAAATATTAAACCATAAAGTTGATCTTTGGCAGTTTATAGCATATTAGCTAATTGAATCATTAGTTTCATTTAATCATTACTTGCAGAATGATTGTTAGCACCATTATCACTTTGTGCACATCCTTACTGAGACTTGTGGATGGAGATAAATTAATCTCAAAAGTAGTCACAAGTGTACAAGATCTGTCTGCTTACAAAAATTTACAAGCAAACCACAAGATTCACAAACGCTTTAACGGCTTTTCTCATGTACACATTTCAAAATGCACAAGTAGGAATGTGATACGCTTACAAACTGTCAAAACAAATCACCTGCTGTGGACGGATCAGCTTGCCTGTGAATGTGAGTTGAGACTTTCTTGCTGATCCAGGTTCACAGACGTAATGCTGCGTTCAAGGCTGCTGGAAAGCTGGGACGTCTGAGCTTTACTAGATTTACTGAGTTCTTTGGAAAAGACTCATTTCTAACTTGGCCCAGTAGCTCATAACCTCGATATTCACATGTATAGTCCAAAAAATTAATTTGTTCTCCTTGTGGAAAAAATAAGCAGAAAAATATAATTTCCTGTTTGACCAATGCATTTGAAATGAACTTCTCAAAGGGTTTAGGTCAGGACTATTCAACTGGTGGCCCGCAGGCCATTTCCGGCCCATGGGTGACTTCAGTCTTGTTGGCTTTCAGAAACTGTGGCCTCCGAGCAGTTTGGTTGAATAGTCCTGGTTTAGGTCATTCTTCCTTTGCAACAACTACTGGAAAATACAAACCGGATTCCAAAAAGGTTGGGACACTAAACAAATTGTGAATAAAAACTGAATGCAATGATGTGGAGATGGCAAATGTCAATATTTTATTTGTAATATAACATAGATGACAGATCAAAAGTTTAATCTGAGTAAATGTAACATTTTAAAGGAAAAATATGTTGATTCAAAATTTCACAGTGTCAACAAATCCCAAAAACGTTGGGATAAGTAGCAATAAGTGGCTGGAAAAAGGAAATTGAGCATATAACAAACAGCTGGAAGACCAATTAACACTAATTAGGTCAATTGACAACATGATTGGGTATAAAAAGAGCTTCTCAGAGTGTCAGTGTCTCTCAGAAGCCAAGATGGTAAGAGGATCACCAATTCCACCATTGTTGCACAGAAAGATAGTGCAGCAATACCAGAATGGTGTTACCCAGCATAAAATAGCAAAGACTTTTAAGTTATCATCATCAACCGTGCATAACATCATCAAAAGATTCAGAGAATCTGGAACAATCGCTGTGCGTAAGGGTCAAGACCATAAAACTCTACTGGATGCTCGTGATCTCTGGGCCCTTAAACGTCACTGCACCTCAAACAGGAATGCCACTGTCAAGGAAATAACAGAATGGGCTCAGGAATACTTCCAGAAAGCATTGTCAGTGAACACAATCCACTGTGCCATTTGCCATTGCCAGGTGAAACTCTACAGTGCAAAGAGGAAGCCATTTCTAAGCAAGCTCCACAAGCTCAGACGTTTGCACTGGGCCAGGGGTCATTTAAAATGGAGTGTGGCAAAATGGAAGACTGTTCTGTGGTCAGATGAGTCACGATTTGAAGTTCTTTATGGAACACTGGGACGCCATGTCATCCTGACCAGAGAGGACAAGGATAGTCCAAGTTGCTATCAACGCTCCGTTCAGAAGCCTGCATCACTGATGGTATGGGGTTGCATGAGCGCTTGTGGCATGGGCAGCTTGCATGTCTGGAAAGGCACCATTAATGCAGAGAACTATGTTCAGGTTCTAGAACAACATATGCTCCATCTAGACGTCATCTCTTTCAGGGAAGACCCTGCATTTTTCAACACGATAATGCCAGACCACATTCTGTAGCAATCACAACATCATGGCTACGTAGGAGAAGGATCCGGGTACTGAAATGGCCAGCCTGCAGTCCAGATCTTTCACCTATAGAGAACATTTGGCGCATCATAAAGAGGAAGGTGCGATAAAGAAGGCCCAAGACGATTGAACAGTTAGAGGTCTGTATTAGACATGAATGGGAGAGCATTCCTATTTCTAAACTTGAGAAACTGGTCTCCTCTGTCCCCAGACGTCTGTTGAGTGTTGTAAGAAGAAGGGGGGATGCCACACAGTGGTAAAAATGGACTTGTCCCAACTTTTTTGGGATTTGTTGACGCTATGAAATTTGGAAACAACAGATTTTTCCCTTAAAATGATACATTCTCTCAGTTTAAACTTTTGATCTGTGATTTGTGTTCTATTCTGAATAAAATATTAGATGTTGGCACCTCCACATCATTGCATTCAGTTTTTATTCACAATTTGTTTAGTGTCCCAACTTTTTTGGAATTCGGTTTGTAATATTTTCTTCTGGAGTTTTTCTACAGGAGGGAAATATTTGTTTTTTTTGTGGACTCCAGCTAGAATAAACATCCCAAAATGGGTTGGTTGGTTGTTCTTGTGGAAAAACCAGGAACATAAAGTTTTCCATTAATATGTATATTTCCTGACATTTTAAATTGTTTATTTCAGCTATAAAGTCAAACATTTTTAAAAACCAGTAATGTCAATGCATTGTGTGCTTTAAAATGGGGCTTTTGAGCTACTGGGCCAAGTTAGAGATGTGTCTTTCCCCAGTGACTCTGTAAATCTGGTAAGGCTCAGATGTCCCAGCTTTTAATCAGCCTTGAACGCAGCATTATGTGCGTGAATCTGGAGCAGCAAGAAAGTCTCAAAAGTCACATTCACAGGCAAGCTGATCTGTTCCCAGCAGGTGATTTGTTCCGTTTGAAATGTGTACATTTGACACACTGATGCATTTTTGGATCCCGTGTAACTAATTCTGAGACCCGTTCATCCATTATGAGAGTTTGGTCTGTCTTGAGTTTGTCTCCCTAATTGTTGTAATGTGGTGTCTCTGCAGCCAGAGGGCAGCATCCTCAAAGACCGCTTCAAGAGCCTGCAGAAAAGAAACCTCATTGAACCCAGAGAAAGAGCCAAGTAAGGACCTCCACTTTACTTTTGCATTAAACAGTCCACACTTGTGACATTTTAAAGATGAAGACTGAGTAAAACTTACATTTTTACTCTTCATTGTTGTTTAGGTTCAAGAGGAGACTGAAGCTGAAGTATGTGGAGAAGAGAGCTTTTAAAGAGATCACAGAATCACCTGCAAATATGTCAAATAAAAAATAACAGCTGTACTCATCAGTGTGATCATTTTGAGGTTCTCAAGCGTTTTAGTGTTGCAGCTGTAAGTGTTTGTGCCACAGGTCCAGAGTCTGGGTTCAGGTTCACCACAGGGTCGGCAGCTTCATCCAGTATTTTAATCCACCTCATAATTTATTCATGTTTTACCCGGTTTACTTTACCTGTTAGTGGATTGAGTTTTCTGAGTTTACTGCAGCATCACACACACATTCCCACGTATATACACTCGTTTTGTGAAACTTAACAGCGTTTACACTTTAATTTTGTAACTGAAATCAAATAAACATTCAGTTCAGCTTTACTCGAAGCTGTTAGCCCAAACTGTGCCTGAAGTCTCTGTGACCAGTTTTCACACAACTCTGTAGTCCCAAAGACAAAAAACAGAAAATCCATACATGAGGTGGAAAATGAAACATTTACCAACTTTATTGGCATTGCACTGAGATACAACGCGAACATATATATATATATATATATATATATATATATATATATATATATATATAAATAAAAATAATATATATCACATATTTAAAACTGGGTGTCACAGCGAGGTTGTAGCTTCACCTCCTGGACTCTGGAGTTTGTATGTTCTCCCCATGTGTGAGTTTCCTCCCAAAGAACACAAAACTTGCAAATCAGTGGAGTAGTCTACACGATACGCAGGTATACGGAGTATCCACTAGAAAAGCTTAAAAACTTCAGTATACCCATTTAAAAGTGCCCAGTGATATATAACAAATCAGACGTGTGTCATTGATACGTTAAACACTTCCGTAACTGTCAGTATGCAGCACTTTATTACATTTACTTATCCAGCAAATTATTGTATAATTCTGTACTTTCTACTTAATACTTGGACATGGTTTGCTTTGATACTTTTTAAAATAACATGTTTTTAATACAAAGCCAACTGTTGTACAAAGTTTGATGTATCCATCAATTCGTCCATCCATTATTTTTTACCCGCTTCTTCCATTTTGGGTCACGGGGGTCGCCGGTGTCCATGTCCAGCAATCACTGCGAGGAGCGGGGGACACCCTGGACAGGTCGCAAGTCCATCACAGGGACACATAGAGACAAACAATCATTCACTCTCTCACTCACACCTAGAGATAATTTAAGAGTTACCAATCAGACTAACGTACATGTTTTTGGTCTGTGGGAGGAAACCGGAGTACCCAGAGAAAACCCACGCATGCACGGAGAGAACATGCAAACTCCACCCAGAAAGGTCCCTGGACCGGGGTTTGAACCAGGGACCTGCTCGCTGAGAGGCAGTAGCTCACCGTGCTGCCCAAGTTTGATGTACATTTATTCAAATATAAGTATCAGAGAAATTTGGAAATGTTTAATATGCTTAAATCAAAATAAATTGACGATTGCATTGTACTATATGGTGTCCTTTGGTTTCTAAGCACAGTGTACCCACTACAAAAATGTAGACTACACCACTGATGCAAATATATTTGTTAACAAATGTATATATTTTTTAAAAAGTTGTCTTTTTGGATTCTTTAAGGTTCAGTCTATTTCTGGAAACGATTTAAGAAAAGTTTTAGCCTATCTTAATCCAAATGTTTCTTTTTTTTTTTTAAGTTCAATTTAGACTTCCTTAAGTTTCATTAATAAAATGCAGGTTTTCATCAACTTGTTTAAAAGTTTTCAAAATAATATGCGCTGGATTGACATCGTCCAAGGGCCACATTTGACCCTTGGGCCATATGTTGTCCACGTCTTGTCCCTAGGGGGTTCATGGTTGTCTCATTTGTCTGTGTCCCTGTGATGGACCTGTCCAGGGGTGTTCCCCTCTTCTCGCACAGTGACTGCTGGACATGGACACCAGTTCACCTTGACACAGAAAATGAGAACCAGGTGTGCAAGATAATTAATAATAAAAATGTTGTGTAAAATTTAATTGATCATTACCTTGAGACAGATTAGTGTGAGGACAATGACCTGGTAATGGGTCTCAAACCATAATTACCTTCAGTGTCCATCTGGCCCCATGGTGTCTGGCGTTTAGCCAAAGTATTCATTAATCAGCGTTAAAAATGTAAGCTCACCTTAACGCCCCCCTGCCATGGAGCAGGGTAAAGCACTTCATTTCCTGTCACTCGTGGATTAATGGGCTGAACCTGATCCCTTTTCCGTGTCTTGGTAACATTTTTACACAAATTACCTGCTGATGATTTAACCTGTTGACTCCAGAAACCTCATCCTCTTGGATTTGTTAAATTAATAAAAAAGATTTACTGCAGAGGGTCAGCGCACGCTGTTGGAACAAATTAAACTGCAGCAAACGGATAACTTCTTAAACTCATACCACTTTAAAGTGTTTTGTGAAAAGCCCTGAACATTTAGTATCTTACCTGTTTGTAGATAGCTTTGTGAATTACCCCAGTTTGGAGAAATGGTTTAATTTTGATTGGACTGAAGAGCAAATGGCTAGTCAGAAGTAACAAGACCCAAGTGGAATATGACTCTTTTCAATTCAAACTCTAAAATTTCAAAGTTGTCCATCCAGATCTTATTTACAGCCAGTCGAAGCAGATGTTGCTTGTCCTGACCTGGTTCTGCTAAAGGTTTCTTCCTTGGAGTTTTTCCTTTCTACTGTCGCCTTCATACTTGCTCAAGATGAGAGTCTGTGATTGAGTTAAACTCAAAACAGTTCGCTCCTCAGATAAACAATGTGAAATTATTATTTTTATATATGAATGTTTCTGTTCAGTGCCCTGAGATGACTTCTGTTGTGACTTGGCTCTATATAAATAAAATGAACTGAATATAGACTAGACCACAGTGGATTTCTCACCGTGTTATTTTCTTACAAATCTATGGCTACTTTCAAGAAAAAAATAGCTGCAGCTAGCTGTAGCACTTCCTCCTGGTTCAGTCCTAGAATATGATTTTGCTGCTATACAGTGCAAAACTGATGTATAGAGTTAAGCAAACGTGTCAGAATTAAACCTTTGAGGACCTGCTCAGCGGTAAAGTCTTCATTGACGAGCCAATAATGTTTTTTGTCCACGCCATTCATAAATATAACACTAGACCAAATGTCCCCCGCCTTTTTAATTTTTGTTGGGAATTGAAGCGAACTGAACCCAGTTTATTACAGTTTTGGAACCAGAGTGTGTGCAATAGCAATGCAGAGCTCCTAAGTCCCGCCTGCTCCCCTGCACGTTGTGACATCACCGTTCTGCTAAGTGGGAAATAAAGTTACAACTAGAAAAATGATTTAAAACTTCTACTGGGACACCAAATCCTGGGGACCCTGGTCAACATCTGGAAACCTATATGAAGTCCACAACTGACCCAAACTAACTTGCTTCTAAAGTAAATTTGTCTTAAAATAACTCAACATTTGATAGTGGTTCATGCATGTTTTTTTTTGGTACGCCATCATTTTCCCATTACAAGCTTATTCCTGCAGAAATGGGAAGTTTCTGTCTGAAGTGCTCCAGATTGTGCCAGACATACTACAGCTAGTTGCTACTGCAGCTTTTTGTGCTTGTAAACAGCAGACGCAACAACGAGTCTGAGGCCAAAGAGGAGATGTATGGATGCAATTGGAGAGGACATGGAGGTAGTTGGAGTGAGGACAGAGGATGCGGAGTGAGATGGAGGAGGATGACTCGCTGTGGAGACCCCTGAAGAGGGAAAAGTTGAGAAGAAGAAGAGCCAGCTGCTATCTGGCGCTGGTCCCAAGTCTGGGTAAATGGTGAAGGTTGTGTCAGGAAAGTCATCCGCCATGAAACACTTTTGTCCAAACCAACATGTACGTTCATTCAAATGACTTCATACTGGATCGGTCAAGGCCGGGTTAACGATGACCGCCACCTGTTGACAAACAGGATACCAAAGGAAAATGTGCTACTGTTAGTCGAAAATCATGAGGGAAACATGATGGGAGATGGAGGAGGATGACTCGTGGTGCTGACCCCTGAACAGGGAGCAGCTGAAAGACAAAGAAAGAATAGTCTTTTTTGAGATGGCTACATCCTTTCTTGTTGCTTTTGGACTAGCCATTAGCTCATCAGTCCCAGATTTACCTTCCCCAAACAGATCTATCTACAACAGGTAAGATACTAATGTTCATTGGTGTTTTTTCCTGTAAAAGTCGACTTCGTAACTCTGCAGTCGTTCGCTCTGCTCCACCGAAAATGATCTTATCCACGTCGTGGGATGAGCAACAGAAAAACAAGCAGCTGATCGTCAACTAATGGTCAAGCTTTTAACTACAGTTTTGAGATTTGAAACAAAAAAAATTGCAGTTTTTTTAGGGTCATAAAGCAGTAAAAAAAGTTGTGAGGTATCTAAACCCTTAAACATGTTAAGGAATATAAATATATGTTTATATTCAGAATTCTTAATCTTTTAATATATTGATCATCTTTAGTGTCCGGTTCAGGCGGTCTGAAAGATGTCCAATCTAATCGGGCCGACTTGTGGTTTAATGTAAAATTTTTAGACACTTTTTAAAAACTAGTTTCTTATCAAGTTGCCAGGGGGTGTAAGAAACTAATTAAGATGGGGTAAAGAAGCGGGAGTGAGAGTTTATTACAGGTTCGAGAAGTGCTGTCATTTGATGTATTCAGAAGATGCTGTTGTTTTTGGAGAGGAACTTTAAAGTTGCATCATTCTGTGTTGCTTTTTACAGTGAGAGCATCAACTTAAACGTTTGAATCAACTCATTCGTCACTGCTCTTTCACTTGGACACTTTTTAATTGTGATTCTATTTTATTTGTTAAAAGTGTTACTTAAACAACACAATTGTTGCTTTGTGTGAAGGACTTCCAGATGAATGCTGACTAGCAGTCTTTGTCCCTGACTCTTACATTTAGTTTGAATAAAGAGGTTTAATAGTCCTCGGAGAACGATCTGAAGCCGTTAAGACGAGCAGCATGGCCCTGCCGCTCAAATGAATGGCTGTTTGACTTTTCTACATTCAGTAAATGGTATTTGTTTAGGCTGCACAGCAGAGGAGTT